AGAATATGAGACCTTCCTTGAGGAAGTGCAGTGTGCTCTGTCTAAAGTGCCGAATACAGAGTCCCTCATACTGACGGGCGATTTTAATGCGTACGTCGCAGTAGACGCTGAAAAGTGTAACGGCGTGATCGGGAAAAACGGCCCTAGCGAAGTCAACAATAACGGCGTGAACTTGTTGCGACTGTGTGCAAACAATGGATTGTCCATTATGAACACCTTGTTCGAGCATCGAAAAGTGCATCAGAACACTTGGTACCGGGAAGCTTGTGCACAGAAGACGATGATCGATTTCATAATCGTATCGTCTGACCTAAGACGCTCAGCAATGGATGTTCGTGCTAAGAGAGAGGCATTGCTATCAACCGATCATCACTTGTTGTTGGCACGCTGCGCTGTAAGAAATGGAGTACCATACAAAGATCTGGTGGAAGAAGCAACCCGAGAATCAAATGGGAAACAATGTCTTCGGTGTACACGAGAGCGAAATTTGCAAAAAACATCGCACGACGGTTTGAACAGATCCCAGTGATGACAATTGATGTTGAAACCGAGTGGTAGCTCTTTAAGAGTGGCATACTCGAAACTGCCGCCGAATGCTGCGGATTCCAACGGTTTAGGAGGTCAATAAAAATGTTCCTGGTAAACAGGAGAGCTACAACTGACAGTTAAAGAGAAGGCTGCGTTCAAGAAATGGCTTGGAGACAAGGAGCCGTCTACTCGCGTGCGATATGTGGAGGCACGCATAGCGGCAGCCATAGTAGTGGCAAAAGCCAAGGCTGATTCCTGGGAGAAGTTCGGTGAGGTGTTGGAGTGGAATTTTCACACGGCAACATAATCAGGCAGACCATCCGCCGGGTCCGAGGTGAAAACACGGGCAGTCTAAGAATCTTGAAAGACAGATCTAGACACCTTCTTACCAAGAATGATGACATTCTTCGGCGATAGACGGAGTACTTTGAGGAACTACTTAACCCCCAGTAACAGTAGGAAGTTTCGCTTGTAGAGCAGAAGGGTACGCATATTACTATCTCTGTAGATGAAATTGCACAAGCTGTGAA